AAAAAGGCTAAAATGACCAAAGAAAAAGTGGAAAACAGTTAAACATGAGAGGTTTTTGGACAAAGTTTGTGTTTTTTCCATTGTTTAAGCACTGCTTCCACCCAAGAGTGATACCATATGCCCTATAGCTGCAGAAAAGGCTAACATTGTTATCTTTTTTACAAAAAAAAAACAGCTGAACGTGAGAGGTTTTTGGACAAAGTTTATGTTCTCCATTCTTTAAGCACCGGTTTGAGCACCGTTTAAGCACCGGCACTATTTCAAAGGTACCAGTTTGGTATTGGTACTGGTATCGGATAAAACCTAAACGATACCCATCCCTACCAAGGAGTGGCTATAACCTGATGATGATATAATCCAAGGTATAATCATAAAACCAGCATAATATAACTGATAGCTGGCAGTTATTCAAACCTGTACATAAGATGCAAGCCATCATGAAGAGCTGATATAAAGTTAACCACTTTAACCAAAAAAAAATGCTACTTGGACGTTTTTAAAAAAACGAAAACTCATCATTATTAGGATTTTTATGCGTGATATCTGTTTGTAGACTTATATAATTGTATGTAATTATACATGTATATTGTATATTGAGGTAGGATCGAATGAGTTTATCTTTAAGTCTGTTTGTACCAACCCTTTCTTTGTCTCATTATTGTTTAAAGTGTATTTTGTTGTTATTTTAGTCATGTTCAAAATAAGTCAATCATTCAGTGACAAAAAAAGGAAAAAAATGAAAAAAGAAAAGGAGGTGTTAAAAAGAAGGATAAAAAAAAAACAAAACTCAGCAAAGTTATGTAAACTCTGGGACATGGGTCAGTACTTAATGGCTTATTACCACTAATTCATTAGAATTTTAAGCAAAAAAAATCAGAAAAGGTGGATTGAAATTGCTATAAGATTAAAATAAATACACAGCTGGGAAAGCTGCAGCCAGTTCGGTGACAAATACGACAAATATTGAGCAGAGCAGGGAGCAGGGGTGCAGCAGATGTGGGTCAGCAAGTAAACAAGGGAGGAGGCAAGGCTCTCGTGGACGACGATGCGCGCTCCCGATAATAAACCTCTGACGCCTTCATCCGGGAACTACTACGAACTCGCTCTCCAACATGGCGGCGTCAGGTGAGGTTTATGTGGGTGAGCGATCCGGGTTGGTTCGGGAGAGAATTTAAGAGGATTTTACTTCAATGCAACTTAACACGTGAAGTTTGATGGTTGTTTTTTCTTCGCTTTATCGCTCCGCGTCGTTGTCTCGCGTGTATAAAAGGGGTTCCCGGTTGTTTTGGGCACGGTAAAGACGATACTGCCAGACATAGGCGAATGAACGGAGCAACGACTAGCATAAATGTGAACGTTGTAACCTCCCGAGAACTTGTAGCATTTATCTCTGGGCACGGTTACTGCGGCTGCTGAAGTCCGCTTTTGACTTTAAGCGTTGTTGTGCGCAGTGGACGTGGTTGACAGGCTGTGAAATGTTCGGAACTGCGTGCAGAGCTGGCACATTGTATGACCGTAGCGGGTTTCGCCGTGGCGCTCAGAGCAAGATAAGCGCCGGGCGCAAGCGCGATGTGTGGAGGAGGGGTCGGGCCGAGGAGTCCGGGCTGCCCGAGGAGTCTCCCCACGTGTGCAAGCGTGGCTGCCTGGTGTCGGTGTTTGATGAAATGGGGGAGCTGAGCCTGTTTTGGCCGCATTCTAAACACTTCCCTAGCTCCTTCTCAACTTTGAGCTATCTTTTTTTCCCCAGCCGGCCAAGTCCTGCGCGATTGATGGCGCACTTGGATCGTGGCGCTGCGACGCGAGCTAGGCCGTAAAACCTAGCCAGCTAAGCAGGGATACTTCCCCCGTCAGCAGTCCTTTGCTGACTAAGCCCGCATAGCCGCCAAGACAAAAGCGATCAGTGTATACGACAAGCTAAAGACCCGCATAGTTACCCTAACAGTTTGACCGCGGGGGTTGTAGTTTTAGAAGAAAACAGACCCGCTGAAACTTAATGTTACGCAGCTCTTAGCTCACCAATGTCACATAAGTGAGGATCGCTGAGCAGGCTACCACAGCCAATATTTTGCTTGCTGGTTTTGCAAAGTACAAGCGGTTATAGCCATTTTGATCAAACCTGATGGCCGTAAACAACAACTGAGTGTAATATTCTGGACCAGACCTGTAAACAGTCTTTGTTGGTCTCTGCGTTTGTGTAGGTTTTGAAATAATGTGTGCAAAAGAATGTCCTGACAGCTGGGATTTTCACAATAAAGCTCCCAGCCAGCTTTCTCACCCCCTATTTTTTGTTTTTGTTTTTCCAAGTCAAAACCTGCATTATGAACTGTGTGCGAGCCCCCCTCCCCATCCCCCTTGGGGGCTGGTAACTGCTGGCACTGGGACACACTGTCAAGAATATTCTGTGGTCTGTGCATGATTCAGTCAGTCAAACCTCAAAAACGTGTTGCAGACACGCAGTAAGGTTGTTTTGAAATCGTTATGGTTCTCACCTTAGTTGGAGCTAAACAGCCTTTTCTGGTCTGTTGCACAGTGACGGTTGGACAGGCTGACCACTCCCCATTCGTGTGTGTGCAGTTTTGTTTTTTTGTAGCAAAAGAAGTATTTGTTATCACACGCACACTGGGGCCCACTCTTATCTTGCTTGGTTGTACATCATCTCACTACTAAACCTTAAAAATCACTATTTAAACAGCAGCTCTCATTTAAGGCAAAAACATTAGTTTTTTTTAGCTGTTGAGATGCTGCAGTTTCTGGTAGTTTAGTCTGCAGCTATTCCATATGTTACTTTGTTTGTAAGGGACTTCCATAGAGAGACGTCCACAATGGGCAAGGTAACCATTACTTACTCTTCTGTTCTTCCCTACAGCTAAGAAGAAGAATAAGAAGGGGAAGACCCTCACTTTGACTGACTTTCTTGCGGAGGACAGTGGAGGCAGCAGCGTCGCCCCCAGCTATCCAACCAAGTCCACAAGCTGGGCGGATGAGACTGATGACCTGGACGGAGATGGTAAGCACACACTGAAATGCACACAGGGATTGGAATATTTTAGCAGCATTTCATAACAGTAGGTGAACTAAAAAACAGTCTGCATTATGTTTCTTGGTAACGACTGTTTAGCTCTACCTTTTCCCCTTAACTGCAAATTCAAAACCTCTGAATTGAAGGCTGCAGTGTTTGTCTGAGCTATTTGCATTTGAAGAAGCAACCTGCCGGAGTGGTTTGTGGTAACAAAATGGTCAGTGTATGTCAGGTTAGCTATGCAATCAGTAGGCAGAGATATCCTTTTAATTGCATGGGTGTTGATTCAGTCACATGTTTTAAAGGAGATATTATGTATGAAAAGCCAGTCTCAGTGGAAATGCCCTGAAAGCAATTACTGTAGTAAAATCGGTGTGCTCGCTCTCTCTCTTGTTCAGAAGATCTTTTAGATTCGTTGGGAAAATTGAAGAATGTGGTCAAACTGGCGATTCTAGTAACACATGTAGTCGAACATGTGGCAGGATGTGAAATGTGCTGCAGAGTGTTTAAATGAAAATGAGCTGGGTGAGATATGAATAGATATGATATGCAGATATAAATGTCTTGTAATACGAGGGTGATAACACTAATCCAAGCTGGGGGTAGTTACATGAGGCATGTATTTTATTTATAAGAAAGTATTAATTAACATATTTACCAAGTCAAAGTTTGGTTTTTATGCCGCATCAGTGGCAATGCCCTGTTTGTTTGTATGTTAATTATTCCAGCTTCTATGTTGAGACTAGGCTATCTACACCACACCTGAGTGTGTGTGACCCTTAAACTCCAGTTTGTGTGACTAATGTGATTGCTGCACGCCATATGGGGGGCGTTTGTTTAGAAAAAGAGGAGCTGAGATGATGAGACAAACTGCGTAGTCGAGTCTGGATCATTAAGGGGAATGCGAACGCAGGCCAGTTTGCGCAAGCACTGTAGCAGGCAATGGCACCTAATGTTTGTTTTTTTTTCTCAAGTGTTTGCATTATGAAAAACAGTGATCTCTATGCAATGAGCTCTCTTGTTTTCTCACAGGTAACCCTAGTATAGGTAGCTTTTTTTTTTTTTTTAAAGTCAAAGCATTTTGTGAATTTAGGAAGGTCAAATATTAGCTTTTATTTGAAGATTCCTCCAATGTCTCTGCAGTCTCGACTTCCTGGCACACGGAGGAGGACACGTACAGGGCACCACCCATCGACCGCTCCATTCTGCCCACAGCGCCTCGCTCAGCTCGCGAGCCCAATATTGACCGGGCAAGGCTCCCCCGCAGCCCGCCATACACCGCCTTCCTGGGAAACCTGCCCTATGATGTCACTGAGGACTCAATCAAAGACTTCTTCCGCGGCTTGGCAGTAGGTTTAGCAAGATATACACACAGCTATCACTCATAATTGTATATAACGGCCAAGGCAAATAACATTTAGGATGCCAGCAGTTCTGTGTGTGTTGGTTTTGCAGTTTCAGTTACATTTCAGGTTCCCAGATCATCACTTTGAAGTTACACATGTGGCTAATTTCTGAAGTTTCAGTCCACATCTACGTGGGGCTGTCCACACAACAGCAAGATTGAATTTGCATTTTAAAAAAGAACAGGATGCAGAGGTCCACTTTGTTATTCTGTTTGTTTTCACACTTGTTCCTCAACGTGTCACATCAACGACACAAAGTCTTTGTTGTTTTTTTTCTCTGTTGTTATTTTGCATTTTGAAAACTTGGGTAGTGTGTTTCTGTTGTCATGAGTGTAATTAGAGCGTTATGTTATTCATCAGTGTGTTTCACTTTAACTGTCTCTGTCCAGATCAGTGCAGTGCGTCTGCCTCGAGAGCCCAGTAACCCAGAGAGGCTGAAAGGCTTTGGTTATGCTGAATTTGACGACGTAGAATCCCTCCTCAGGGCTCTCAGCCTCAGCGAGGAAGTAAGAGAACCTGAAGTTGGAAAAGACACAATTAAACAGTCTGAGACTTTCACCAAAGTGCAGGAAAGATCAGTAAATAATAGTTGTAACAAACGACTTCTTTGCTCATGCCAACAGAACCTGGGCAACCGCCGGATTCGTGTGGATATTGCAGACCAGTCAAATGATAAAGGTACACTTTTATTCCTGGACATTTTGAAACGCTCATCTCTGCCTCTGCAGTCACGCGCCGCTCCATTGCCCTCGTTGAAGTGTTCGATAATTTAACACAGCGTCTCCTCTCCTTCTTCACATCTCAGAAAGAGACAGCGGACTTATGGGTGGTCGAGACCGAGGTGGGCGAATGGCTGACATGGGTCCTGACAAGACAGACAGTGACTGGAGAGCTCGACCAAGTGCGGATGCTGATGATGGACCTCCCAGGAGAGACGATGCCTTCGGAGACAGTGAGTCTAATAAGCTTTTGCTGGAGCTTTATCATGATAGCATAAGATTCCCTCTAAAGACAAAAATATACCTAAATAAACAAACAGAAAAACAGAATGCTTGGAGATTTTTTTTTTTCCCATTTCAGTTACACAAATTAAAGCATAAAATTTTAATTTCTGAGTATATTCACTGAACTAATTAATTAAAACAAGTCCATTAAGTGGCTTCTTTTGCACTATGGAGAATTTTGTGAAACTTAGCCTTAGCTTTATGTCACAGCCCTGGTTTTCAGCTTTCAAACTGAGGAGCAGGTGTTATTTATTTTTTTATTATTTCTTTGTCTTTAATTTTGAATTGTTTATATAAAATACATGTGTGGTAACACCATCCAATCAGCCGTTCAGTGTGTCACGTCCCATTACTTTCGGCTTAATGCAGGATCACGTGACCGTTACGAGTCTGATCGTCACAGAGATGGCCAGCGGTGGGACAGTGATCGTAATGAAGGAGGTCGTTACCGGGATCGCTATGACAACAGGGACCGCAGAAACAATGATGGAGGTTTGTTTGTATAAGTTCTGTAAACTGCTTCTTAGGCACAAGATCCAGATTACTTTAACATTCTGATCCCAAATAAATCTTTATTTTTTGTGGTTGTATTTAGTGTTTACAGCGTTCTGTTTTCACGTTTCGTTTTTGGTCTGCTGTCTGTGTAGGTTATGACTCTCGTAGTGGAGGAGGTCGTCGTAACTTTGGTAGTGGTTTCCGCCGTGATTATGATGACAGTCAGGGTAGCAATGATCGCTACGGGGACCGGGATCGTTACGGAGATCGAGATCGTTACGGGGACCGGGATCGCTATGGGGACAGGGATCGTTACGGAGACCGGGATCGTTATGGAGATCGAGATCGTTACGGAGAACGGGATCGTTACGGGGACCGTGAAGACCGGCACGACAGGCGTGAAGAGAGAGGTGAGATTTCATTGTATAAATCCTATCCTTTGTCAATATTCTTAATTTTCAGGAAAAATCTTGTTAAGTTGTGCATTTGTGACGTATGTACTTTCATCTTTTCCAACCCTAGCTCCTCAGCAGAGACCCAAGTTGAACCTGAAGCCTCGTAGTGTACCTAAAGAGGAGGAAAGCGCCGGCAGTGGTGGCACTTCACCTGCTGCCACTTCAAGCTCCAGCAGCAGGGCCTCGTCCATCTTTGGCGGAGCAAAACCCGTTGACACAGCAGCAAAGGAGAGGGAGGTGGAGGAGAGGCTGAAGAAGGAGGAGGAGAGACTGCAGAGGCAGCTGGAGGAGGACAAAGGCAGGGGACCGGACAGAAAGATGAGGGACAGGTGAGCGGGGAGGCTGATGAGTAATGTTTGAATGTAGTAGTATTGTACATTTATTACACCATTAAATTTTCTGCCTTTTTTTTCTCAAGCACAAGTAAATTAGACCTAATGCAGAAATGGGAGAGAGCCTTTTTATTTTCAAATGTTAATGATTAAGTGTTTAATGTTGACGCATCCTGTGGAGACTTGTACAGCTTGTACAAGCTCTTTGCAGCCAGAGTCTCTGTTAAATGGACTGATGCTCAAAGTGCTTTTCTGCTGCTTTACCCCAAGCCTCATTCACACACATTCATACAAGTGCTTTCTTTAAGTTAACATTCACACAGATGCACCGGGAGCACTTTAGGGTACAGTACCTTGGAGGAGCCAGGCATAGACCATCAATCCTTGCAATTAGTGGAGCCACAGCCGTTGTCGCCGTTGCATTAGAATCCTTCACTTCTGTTCTTGCATCCATCCATCCATTTTCTTCCGCTTATCCGGGGCCGGATCGAGAAGCCCAGACCTCCCTCTCCCCAGCAACCTCCTACAGCTTGTCCAGGGGAACACCCAAGCGTTCCCAGGCCAGCTGAGAGATATAGTCTCTCCAGCGTGTCCTGGGTCTGCCCCGGGGCCCCCTCCCGGTGTGACATGTCCAGAACACCTCGCCCAGGAGGCATCCTTGTCAGATGCCTGAACCGCCTCAACTGGCTCCTTTCGATGTGGAGGAGCAGCAGCTCTACCCTATCTCTAAGGGAGAGGCCAGCGACCCTTCAGAGGAAGCGCGTTTCTGCCACTTGTATCTGCAATCTTGTATCTGCAATCTTGTTCTTTCGGTCACTACCCACAGCTCATGACCATCGGTAAGGGTAGGGACATAGATAAAATTGAGAGCTTCGCTTTTACACTCGGCTCTCTCTTCACCACAACAGACCGGTACAGCGTCCGTATCACTGCAGCCGCCGCACCAATCCTTCTGTTGATCTCCCGCCCCCTTCTCCGTCACTCGTGAATAAGTTCTTGCAGCTCAGTTTAATTTCTGAGATGTTTATGGCATGTTTATAAGATCTGCCTGCAACTTGACAGACACTCAAAGCCTCATCTTATGATTCTTGAAGAGAAGATTCAAGATGTTCTTTGGTTCACTGTTCTGTTATAGCTGCAACTCGCTTTTCACGTTGGTCTTGATTTGACTGCTTGACATTTACATCCAGAATTTCAGATGTTTGTCTGTGTAATCAGTAAGTTAAGGCCTAACAAGTTGCTCAAGTTTTTACATATAATAGTAGCAGTTCCAAATATTTGCATGGTACACTTTTTAAAATCTCCTCAAAGGTAAAAACGGCAACTGATATTTTTAATATCTGTTTGCAGCAGGGTTTGTGTTCACGATTGTCCACTGCAAAAATCTGCTAATCATGTCATTTGCATAGAGCAGAACTAATAATAATGGATTGGATTTATACAGCGCTTTTCAAGGCACCCAAAGCGCTTTACAATGCCACTATT